CTTGTATTGATGGGATCCTGGTATATTAGTGGCGCCTAGGTTCGTCCTAAATCACTTCAATCACATTCACTTTCACTTTCACTGTTCACAGTTCGGAGTTCGGAAATAAATACAATATAGTCAAGTGTGTTTTCTTTCAAAATACCTTTTATAATATTGTTTTTTGGCTTAACTTAATTGTTATTTTAGTTATTTTTTCACTCGGTTAATGTTAAAAAACATGTATACATATTTTAATCTCAACATTACAACTGTTTAATTAAAATACAAAAATATAAGATAGACTCATTGGAGCGTCCGTTGAAATTTTAAATGACAGTGACAAAATTGTTGCACTTAAAAACGAGATGGCCGTGCCGGGCGGAGATTTTGTTACGTTTATTTACGTTTTATACGTTTTTTCGCCATGACACTGTTCTTTTTTCACTGTTATCAAACTTTAATAATAACATGATTAAAATTTAATTTGCAATCTGTATGAGTATATCATATGCTGAGGTTTAAGGAGGAGTTAATAGTTAGGTATATAATATATTATGTTATATTATAATATAAGTAACTGTTCTCGTGCACTTTGTTGTCTGCAAGAAAATGCCACTCCTAATATAGAACTTTTCAAAACTTATTTAATCATTAACCGACATTGTAGATATCGTCGGCTCCTTGACTTATCGTGTTGAATCGCCCGACTGCACTTGCTTTGTTTTTTTTAGCGTTCTTTCTGTAAAATTTTTTCTTTTTACTTGACTTCTAAAGGTTGAAGCGTAAAACGCCGTAAGGGCCTGCTGACTCAGCAAGCGATGTTTTTTCGAAATTTCAACAAATATACCCATATATGACCGCGAGTTAATACAAAAATCACAAAGAAAAAAATACTCAGTTTTTCCCAAAATTTTTCAATTTTACTCATTTTTTGTTTTTTATCAATAAAAATTATTTTTTGGACTATTATAAGTACGAAATTTTTTACCAATTATATAATATTTTTTTTTCCTTACTTTAAACTCGTTTATAAAAATAATAATTATTAATGTTTAAGTTTGTTAGGTACTATATATTAGCTACTAACTACAAGTGTATTAGATAGGTACACACTATACACACATTTATATTACAAATTATTATACTGTGATCGACTAGGAGAATTTTCATTTTGACTTTAACGTAAATCATGGTTATGGAAGACCTTTATAGGTGTACTTACTCGTACGATCAATGAATTATCAAAAAATATACTTGCATATGTGATAAAAGTTGTTCTTACTAAACAATGTGTTATACATACAATTTAGTTCATGATACAGTTTATAATACAGAATATAATAGATTGATGTTTATACGCCTATTGAAAATAATTTTACGATTAGTGTTCCTTTTATAATTGTCACGATTAGTATATTACGTTCAATATTCCATTTAAAATACGTTTTTGTGAATTTTAAAATAGTGTTGCCGCAGTAAAAAACAACAAAAATTCTTGGTACATAATTAATCAAAAATGTAATATATTATTGAATGAAGTCAAAGAATCAAAGTCTACCAATATGAAAAATTAATTGATTATCGGTGACTTAAACGGTTTGATACTGTTAATATTCGCGGAGAAGAAAAATTCATATTGGGTATTGATATCGACTGAGCACAACAGCAAGAACATTTTCTCAACTTTTCACTCGAATCAGCTGTTCACTTTATGCAAAGAACATTTTTTAGAATCGGCAATAATAATTTCAGACAATGAATAATTGGTATTCGTCAAGCAGTATCGCAATTATTTTAGACTAGTGAACAAGGCTTGATAAGGTGCGACTATTTGAAAAAATGTATCATAAATCGGTGTAAGTGCAAATGCCAAATCCAAAAATATATTGTATAACTTAAGATGTCACAACAGTCAAGCCTGCACAAATAAATAATAATTATGATAAATATTTCTGCTATAATATTTATTATAATACTCGTATAAATGTATATTAATAAACGTATATAAATACATATTATGTACAATATATAATAATTATTATTATTTTTATATACGAATATAAAGCAAGCGAAAAAAAAATACCACATAATTTTATTATTAAAAAATTTCAGACTTTTATCTATGCTGGTCGTTTATCCTAAGATATACCTATCAAATATTGTTTGTAAAAGTCCCAACTAAAAAAATTATTTGGGATTTGATCAAACTATTTTGTGTATCTTAGATTTTACCAACCGCAATCGGTAAAACGTATAATTTACCGGTAAATCCTCTAGGTTTTACCAGTATTCGTACTTTTAACGTTACACACAGGCACACACACATATAATAGATATACTGTATTATCATCATCGTTAAATAAAATAAAAACTTTTTAAAGCAAATTTCTATAAAAACTTTACAATTCACCAAAGTATTATTTTTATTTGATTTCAAATTTTTAGAATAATTATATGCTGTCTACACACAAATTTTAAGGTGGGTACTGTGGCCATTGTATTAGTACTCTTAACCAAATATACACTAACACGTCATTATTATTATTGCTTGTATTCTAAGTGTGAATATTATTTAACTTTTTTGCTGAATATTTAAAATATTTAAATCTAGATATTTAATGAGCATTATTAATATGCTCTAAAAATATAGACATATTTTTTTTTATAAAATACCTAGTAAAATAAATATTATATTATCTAGCGCTTAATAGCAAATAACCATGAGTTGTGAGATTCATTTATAAGTAACCATCATGTAGATTGTGAACCATGTTGTTTTTCTTTATTTTTAAGTAATATTTATGAAACATTAATATACAGGTATTTATTAATATTAAATTATATTAATAAATAATTTTTTTTTTTTTTGAAAAATACGATTTTACAAATTATATCTAAATAAGCTTATTTATCAAATATGGAACATATCTCATAAAAAAAAATTAATAATCACGATGAATCTATAGTGATTTATCATTAAGTTACAAATATTATTTTATCAGAATAAAAATTAGTTGATTTGACAAAAAAAATTTAACAGTGACAACTATGTTGAACTTGCTGAAAATAAGCGTTTCAAAATAATTCCAAAAGATAATATTTTATCATATTTTTCATTTTTTTTTATTTGTCCGTAAAAATTGTATTTTATTAATTTGTATCATATAATATAAAATTATTTAGGTATATGATTACTATAAAATTATATGATGTGTTAATGTTACACGCGTGAAAACCGGATATCCGATAAATTGTAGTGTATTAACTGTAAATGTCATTGTATACCTACGAGATATTACATACATAATCCTATTAATAAATAAAGCGAGTGCATATTTTTCATGTGCTATTCCTAAACAATACAAATAATAAAAAAAATTCTATTATATGTTTATAAATTATACATTGGTTTTACGAACAATATATATGTATAAGCTACAGAATAGAAATAAGATGTAATATACTTTTATTGTTGAATTTACAGTCATTGATATAATGAAATCTTATAACATCTTGTCGAATCGATGAATTTTTTATATGATATATTTGATATAATATATTATATTGAATCGTATATTAATGAGGTGGTGTAATATATATTGTGATAATTATACAAATGTATTATATTTAATAATAATTTATTGAATTGACGCGAAAATATAAATATCGTTTACAAGTTTACAACGACATGCGCAATAGTTAAATTTTTTTTTTTTTTAATTGGTATTAATTTTTTAATTTTTTTAATGTATTCGTCACTCACTGTTAAAAATATTAAACATTATTATACGGCCTACTATACAGTAGTCTAAATTATATTTTTTCGTTTTTATGTACTTAACTGAAACTAGTCAGTATTAAGCGCGGAGAGCGGAAAAATAATTTATGGACGTGTTAAAAATTGAAGTTAAAAATTGTTCGGCTCGTACATCTATTAAAAATATACTATCCGCATCAATTATTAATCGGTAACATTTGTGTTTTATGTGTATTTTAACCTTTAGTTATGACCTTAGGCTTCCCGTATAATTTAAATTTTAAGTTCATCTGGCTGTAGTTAGTTTTTTATTGAACTAGCAATGTAGACGCGATCAAGTGGTCCGAACAAATACCATGACCCGTAAGTCCAGCCTTAGTTGTAATGTATAGTTGCATACAGCTATAAGAGACATTAATATAGTTTAAAAAGTATATTTGTATTTATATATTGTAAAATATGGTAGCTAGAAATTTTCATTAGACGTATGATGGTAACTGGTAAGTGATTACACTGATAACATAATATACAATCAAATATCGGTTGTTTAAAAATTGACTAACACACATGATTTGAGATATCAAACGAAGAGAAATTTAGTAACTTAGAAAAGACAATATCGGTTGAGTGTTTACTTTATTTTTTAATGATTGCAGTGCGTAGTATTATATGTGTTTTATCTATATAGGAGCGTATTTTAGGAGCACCGTTATTATATTTACTGAATACTAGGATATGTGTTTTATGCTGATTAAATTGTTTTCAAAGTTTTTTGAAATCATGTTCGGCTAAGCTACCCTAAGAAAAGGCTCAACAACCGTATCTCTGGGGATTCTTGATATATTTTTTATAATATCCATTTATTATGTTGCCACAAGGTTGCCACAAGGAATAGATAATCATATATTTATAAAATTTGATGTTTCACAAATTCACAATGTAATTAGAGTTTCGGGCATATTGATTAGATGCTTAACTTGCACAGACTACATCTAGAGTGTGGTAACGTGATTCTGATTTTACTTATTGTAATTTTTATTGAATAAATTTAAGCAACTAAATTTTTATTAATATTTTTAGTAATTTTTTTGAACATTTATTATTGTACCATTTTTGTTTAGATTTTTAGTGTCAATTTACTGTTATATGAAATTTGTAAATATTATTCTAGTTTAGATACCGTTTTTAATATACGTTTATTTATTTTATTACAACTAACAACCACTGTTGGACCAAACATGATTATTATTTTTGAATTGAGTTATGTATTCATTGAAAGTACTATATCGAGTTGAGCCTGTAAAAAAACACACATGTATTATTTGATATTAAATTATTTTTTTAATAGAACTAAGTATAATTAAATTATATATAATATTATATATCTATCAATAATGATGATAACCTCAAACAAAACAAATTAAAAGTCAAAATTCAGCATATTGTGCTTTAAAATATATACATCATAGATAGTGAAAATTAGTTATAATAAAGTTAGTTTAACAAAATGTTGTTTATAACAATTATTAAAATATGATGTCTTGGTAGAAATAAACCATATTTATCATTTTATATAATTTATCTTTTATTAGTTATTACAAATTCTGTTAAAATTATTGCTTTTCCAAAAATAAGGTTCAAGGTTCTATTATAAATAACTGTTATGGGTAACCTTCGCAAATATATGCAAAAATATTTATAATTGTATTATAAGAATATATTTTTTTAACTTCTATCTTATTATTTTGAATTATACAGTTATAGACTGTATTTCATTCATTCAATAATTATACCATAATATTAATTGTATTATTTTAAATTTTCTTTAATTTTTACATTTTTATTTTTAAAGTTTTTAATGTGAAAAAATGTAATGTGTAACTAAACAATACAATTATTAGCTATTTTATAAATATATAATATGTATGAAAAAATCGCTTACATGAAATTGTTGGTTACAACAAATAAATTGATATTCCCTTATACGAGTTGGTTATAAGTTATAACTTATAACCGATTTTCACTATATATATTATATTACTTTATCACTATTGAAAATACATAGTCTAAAAGCACTTAAATTATTGTATTAATAACAAATAAAATTACTCAATTAATTATTAATAATAAAAAATAGAAAAATGATAATTGTATTATGTATTTAGTTTTTTAAAAATTAATGTAGTAAGTACTTAGTTTGATATTTAATAATACACACTTTTAATGATTTATGGTTCTTATTGAAAAAATTTAACTCATGTTGATTAACATCTTTCAAATGATTTAATTCCTTTGTCAAATCGATTTTTAATCTATTATATTTAATGTTTGCCTCATTCAATTTTTTTTTTAACAAAACATGTTGGTCTTCTATATCATGTATATCCTTTTCTGTCAAGCCACCTTTATTATCATTCTATAACAGCAATAAACACAATGAAGGGTAATATATCTTCAATGTTTTGAATGTTCGAACATTCAAAAATTTGATTACAATTCATGAAATATTATACTTTTTTTAAAAATATTTCAATAAAATTAAATCACGTTCAAACACAACATGCATATTCGTTTACATGTGATCTATGATAGAACTTTTATCGTTGAAAACTTTACAAAGTTACATTAATATAATGTATAATAGATTGTAGATTATTATTTATATTAATCAAGGGTATGCAAAGTGTATCAGAAAAAGTTGACAAATATAATTAGTTATTTAATTGTTTTTATCATTATTTAGGATTTAAAAAATATGTATTGACAATAATATTAAAATGTAGACAACAATAAAATATAAATGTCAATAGTCATATTCATGTAATTTAAAAAGTGGTAAAATATTAATAAAAATTAAATTAATAAGTCGATAAGTGATTGCGTAATTAGTTAAAGTTTATTTCATTTGCCAATTATTTTTGTAACACTCTATAGACATATTTCATTATTATATAAAATATTAAAATATGTATTTAAATTTGGTAAAAATGAATTTGTTTGTGAACATTATTTTTATACCTATTAGACATTAATGTTTAGTGGATAATATATAAATAATACGTGGAAATTCATATAATATACTCAATACTTAATATATTATATCTAATACTTATATTATATCGGTATAAAGTTGCTTAAATTATACATTTTTTAAATCTTCTTTGTTTTTGTTTATAATTTTTTTCATATTTGGCAGTAATATAAAATTATGTACATAATGTATTACATATATAAACATTATAAACATGGAAAAACCATGAAATACATGAAATGAAATAGGCGAGAACTGAAGAAAGTGTGAATGACGAACAGATTATACGCAAGATTAACTTACCAATGATGTATGTTTAATTCTAAACATTAAACCGCTCTCAAATAAATGTTTATGAGCAATTATACTTGAATTGTATTCGTTTCGAATTTTGATTAATAATTCACCTCGATCAATGCTATTTACGCAAACTTGTCGTATCAGTTCATCTAACATAATAACACAATAAAACTTGTAATATGAACACATTTTGCAATATGATTATATTGATTAGTTAATTATTATTATTATTATTATATATGTGAAGTTTCACATGTATAGATATTAATTTTTATGTTAAACATTAATGAAACCATTTCTGCGATTGCAGATGATTGCAATTTGCAGTTATGGGGAATAAAATAGTTTTAGTATTAATAATGTGTTATTATTCAATCATTTAAACATAAAATGAATGCCATGAAATTTTCTTAGAATTAAATATGTTTAATTTATTTGATTGTGTATTATAAATCAAAAATAAATGTACCACTACGAATTGCATATAAAATAAATCACTATTCAGAAATATAAACTTGATTAAACACACATAATGATATAATTTTTTAGAACGATTTTGTTTTGATAACACTATTAAAATTAAACCGTAAACTGTTCAAATACGACTTACATGTTTTGTTAACGATTGATTATAAATATACATAAGTTTAAATTAAAATTATTATAGTTATTATAATAAAATATATAGGCGTATATAATATGTAGTAAAAGTGGTCGCCATTATTGGTAATAAAACTTAATTCAGAGATTGATCAATAATAAATATTTTGAATAATTTTTTATGATTCGTGTTTTATTTTCATATATATATATATATATATATTGTTTTTGAATAAGATAACAGCTAATAATAACAAATAAGTGACATTTTACTGTGAATATCTATTAATTATTTAATACATGCATAACTAAGAATATATCTAATAATTGTTATTGATTTTTATTGATGAGGTAAAAGTATAGTTTATTCGTAAATAGTTAAAACTACAATATTAAGAAAGATTTTTTATTTCGTGCTCCCATTTACATAGTAAATTATAAATTGTGCATTTAGATATGATCACGCTAATCATTATATTATATTAAAAATAATATTATGTATTACAAAGTAAAAAAAAAATAAAAATAAAATCTACGACATAGTTAATAATATTCTTTTACATTTTAATAGGTAAGTTAATTTACTCTAATATTGACCCCTTGTAGAGACTGTTCTGCAGGACATAATATTATATATATTTAGAGGATTAGCGTACCATGCACTATGTCCTTTAAATATAATATTATAGTTAGTTTAATAGAAACAGCGCTTCCGGATGATTTATAATGTATTATAATTCGTGCTTAAAATTGATACACAAAATTACGAAAACGATAATAATTTAATGGTTGAAAATCACTATGCGCATATAATATTGTTACATATTATAATGACATGATGTATAAAATAAAAATTCAATACCACGTCATCGTTAGTATAGACAGGTATAAAATATAACTGACCACTGATTGGCCATGGCTTGGTGTTAGGAAATTTAGTCGTATACATAATAACTAGAGTTTTGAATTTTAAATATTTAAATGTGTGTATTTAATAATTAACAATCAATTAAAATACGATATAATTTTTTTTTCATTTTATTCAGTTCACATGAATTTCAAAATCGTACTTTTAGTATTAAATTATAATTGAAATTGTACATGATATATATTCAATATACCATCACAAAAGGTTCTGCTCGTAAAATAAATAAATATAGATAGATTATGAAAAAAATTAATTTATCCAGATAGAATTAATATTATTTTTTCACATCTTATTCTTAAAATATAGAAAATAATATGAATACTATAATAATAGTTTAGTTTAAATCACTAATAATACAAGTAATCAATGTTAAATACCTAATTTAAATGGCTATGCAAAGTTATCAACATTTCTATTTCTATACCTTCCGTGACAATTATAAATCGATTTTTTTCATTTATCTAACTAACTTTAGCAATTGCACACTATTAGTTGTTGTAACTTATAAGTCTCGTTTTAAAGTAAAGATACGTACATTTAAATAGTTAGATTTCTTGACGAATCTCGGGCTATTCGCAAGGAACAGAAAACTGTTTAAGCTTTAAAAATATTTAGATAACACCATTGAAATTTTGAAGCATATTCCTATTATATATAATACCTTTAGGATTGAGGATTTTTATAATAAGTCACTTGAACATAACAGTTACATGTCGTTATAATTTATATTTTTCAAATGTTTAGAAAATATTTCATTTATTTATAAAAAATGTCTACTTTTTTTCTTCTATTTCTTGTATGGTATTTTTTTTTACTTTATAACAATATGAAAAGTTACCGAATATATTCGCAGACAACAAGTGAAAACAAAATACATTTATTTATGTCACCCAATAATAACGAAGGGTCGTCCTGTTTTTTTTCATGGCCCAGTTATTAAAGATTAAAATATTATCTTTTCCCATCGATACTGTATTGATGGTAACGTATTCGGCTGGACGTTAAATTCTCTACCAACATCATATTTCTAACATTTCTATCTTATTTTTACGATATCTTATTTTCACCTTTAATATATTTTCACTGGTGAAATCATCGTAAGAAGAATATATAGGGCTATATTATTATGTCTAATACTCTCACCCTGTCTCTGATTCGCCGTTTTCGATTTCTGCCAAAGTAAGTCTCTTCGGTGGATTCGATAAATCGAGAAAACCTTTAATTGTATTTGAATCATCGAGAGAAATAACTTATTATACTTATAATCTATATAGGTATATGAATTAAAATTTCATTATTCAAAAAGTCATTGATGATATTCAGTATAATAAGTATCTACTGTACATAATATACACAATGATTAATCAAGCACACTATTGAGCTAATTCCCATTTTTCCTTAAGTAATTAATTTATTCAATTTCTAATATTTTGAAATTTAATTACACTTGTCTTAAACACAATTTTTTTTATGTACAAAGATTTCTTACATCATTTAATGAAAATTCTGAGATGATACAAATTTATTATGTGGAAACTGTTTTTACAGTAGAACAAGTGTACATTTTGACGCATACAAATCTAAATTCAAATGAGTTGTTTCTTAGTTATTTAATATACTTTATGTAGATATGTAATATTTAATTAATACGCCTACTCATTATACACAATTTATAAAGACTCTATTAATACTCAAAAACAGAAAAAAAAAAATGATTTTATGTGTAAACATGTTTTGAATACGTATATATGTTGCACTTGGGCCATTGAATAAAAAAAATAAACTGTACGTTGACACCCACTTAATTAAAATTGTTTGAAAGTGTTATTTCAAATCATAATATTATAAAGAAGAGTTTCTAGTTATCATTCATTATTATTTATAGGCTTATAGTTACTAACAAAAGACAAATGCATTCTTTTACGAATTTCAAAAACTAACACTAAAAATCTATAATAATTAGGCTCAAAAAATGTTAAAATGCATAACATAAAATAAAAACTTAATTAATAATTTTTAATTGATAATGTTTTAACCATTAACAATGTAATTCTTAGACTTATTATGGCTATCAAATGAATCAATTTATTAGTAATGTTTGCTATTTGTAATTACTTATCCATATACTAATCAGTAATCATATAATATATCAATATATTTAAAAAAAAATAAAAATATTTTTTCATAGTATCATAGAAATATTTTATGAAGAGTAAAATTTAAGATTTTTAAGTTATCATCTTTATCTAAATAATTGTATTAAGTTCAATTAATTAGCTATTTTAATTAAATTAAAAAAAAAAAACTAATCTGTACACTAAACTGTTTATAATAGTTATCATTTTATATGACGTTATATCGTAACTTACTGAAACACTGCTTATACAATTGTCTTCTGACTGGACACACTCCGTACATTCTGGCATGCCAGTAAGATAAGTTGAATTTTAAGTCTTCGGCTAGAGCTGTCATTTGATGCCGGTCCGCTGGCTCCGTGGATGCTACTCGCCGCCACTTCTTACCATCTTCCGTCCATTCCTCTGGCGGATAGATGTACTCGAACACTTTGTTGTATCCAGGTGGATAGTCGTTGTTCTGTTTTCCCTACGAAAGATGGCGATGGATAATATTATAATATCATATAAATATTAAATAGTTGTTATAATCGTGCTGTTTTGTCATGATAAAAACTGACGGAGACGGAGATTGTAGTATAACGTTCATATAGGCATACCGCATGCGCATATTTCATTGTCGGAGTATGTGATACAAAAAATTAATCCCTTCCCTCTAAAAAATATTCCGCAATAAAACCCTAAAAATAAAACTGTTTAATCAAAATAAAAAAAAAAATTGTTAGAGATTTTTCATTAGAAAATATTTGTAACATTCTGAACTTTTCTATAACATTTTCAATATATATTTCCGTCTTCCTAATTAATTTTTTTTTGAACCAAATTTTTATAATTTATAAACACATATAATATATATATATTATAAAGGATATAACGAGTCTAATAATCTAATATCCATAGAGCTGTTAAATATGTAGTGGGATATCCTACATACTCCGTGCTCTGAACACCTATGATGATATTATAATTTAATACATCACTCCATCAGCCTAGAAACTAGACAATTGTAAAATAAGTCGACCATTAGGCAATGTTTATTAATAAATCCTTTTTAAATGTATGAAAAATTGGAATTAAATATAAAAATACTAAATAGTAATTATAAATACAAATTTGTACATATAATGAAATATCTGCTAAATGTAGAAAATGTTGTACTACCTCAAAGTATAAAATTGTTTAGGAGAGTAATTTTATATTTTTAACAGTTAAACTTTTGTTAAAAATTGTTAAATTTTAAAAGTCATGAAAACCATCTCCTGTTATTTAAACAAAACTCAGTGTAAAAAAATAATAATTGTAGAAGTACTTTCATAGATATTATAATCTTCTGGTCGTTAATACGTTTTTTTTACTTGGAACTTTTTTGTTTTGAATTTAATGCATGTTTTCCGAAAAACAATATTAGGTTAAATAACATGATAGTACATTGGTACTATGATTTATACAATTTTATATTTTGTTAATAAATGTACAACAATGTTATATTATTATACTTTATCGTTGAGATAATGGATTTAATCACTTGTTGGTTATCACTCGTTTGTTTTATTATGTAAATAGAATCATTGGTTATTGTTATTATAGTTAAGAATTAAAAATCATTATTTAGAATATTTAGATTACTGTTATCAATAAAGTCAAGTGTCACAACCGGATGATTTATTAATAAAACCCTTTTATGGTTTAACTAATCTTAGTTTATATGTTTGTTGTACAGTTAGAACAAATTACTATGATATTTACAATAATGATTTTCGAATTTTCCATCATACGTATTTATTACGATCGTAATTGGTAAAAAATACTTTGAGTTTGAAGATTTCTTTGTTATATTATAACTAAAAATTATTTAAAATATGTCATTGTGTATTTGTTTTAAATTGATTTAATTATAATAATTAATAATACATAATAATATGTATTGTACTCATAATAATAAAACTAATAAATTCAATATTGATGATTGTGTTTGAAAATTTAAAAAAAAACATATTTTAACGGTAAATGATAAATTTCTCGTATTCGGACCAATCGTGTAAATTATTATTAGAGAAATTATTAATAGATAATTTAGCCGATTTTTAAATAATTTAAACTCAAAGAAAAAAACAAATTTTATCATTTCTACATACTTGTTTCCCTTGATATTAATGTCGATTTCCTTAGCATTATTATTTTTAAATCTATATTGAATATGCAAATACTATTTGGTAATTACTTTATCCTTATTTTTTAACTATAACGATTAACAACACGCATAAAAAATGATATAACTTTAAAAAAATTAATGAAATAAAATGTAATACTCTGATACACATATTAGGTTGTATAAATACAACTAAGTATCACTTAAGACGTTTAAAAAAATAAAAAATTGTTAGTACGGTTTTTTGTTTTCTCTCTCTGATCCACGCTCAATATAGCAAATTCAAGTTCAAGCGATTAAATTCTGTGTTGTTAGCATTAATATAGTAAATTAACCTATTAACAAAATCAAAGGTAAGAAAATTAAGTAAAGCGCAATATTTTAACTCAAAAGTGAGAAATGGCTATGTAAAATATTACAATTTTAAAACGCCCATAACATGCTTTAAAATAAAAATACCAATAAATTATTTTGTTGTGTCTTAAATAATATTCTTATATTTAATTACGATAATTGGTAAAATCATTCTGATATTAAATCTAACAACACAAAATTGGATTTACTCAAGACAAATTCGATATGTTGCGCACGTGGATCGGAGAGAGGAAAAAGTTTATCTAAATCTAAAATCATCAATAGTACTTAATTGCCAAATAATAATATATAGAAATCAAAGTTAAAGAAATTACTAAAAATAGTATATACATATTATGTGACATATACATATATATAAGTACTTATAAATTTATATAAATAAATATTGAATTGATGGTCTGAGGATTTTTTTTTTATCATTACAAACTTCATCCCCGTTGAATGACGTACCTACACGACGTCGAGTTGAGAAAAATAAGACATGACATGCAGTCGACACACAGCCGTGGTAATCCTACGTATGGTCTTTGCAACCATTCGGTGGGATCTTTGTAGTAACATAATATTTTAACGTCCAATCCCAACGTCAGACAAAAAGGATCCTGCATCGTGATCCCGATTTCTAACCTAACTCGAACTCGTTTTTAGATGATGCCATTTAATATTGTATATATACAGTATACACTTATATATTTTTTAAGTTTTAATGTGTTTTTATTTTTTACGACAACCAGTCTCTGTATAAATAATATTTATCCCTATCTTGATAAAGCTACTTATTTTTTTTTTTTCATATGAAATATTATCTTTTAAATAATTTATTTACTTGCGTAGGTAGTCGTTTATTTTATTTTTTCTGTATTATTATTATATTTTTATGTATACGGCATGTTTAAAATGGTTAGATATAGAATATAAAACAAAGCAAACAAACCAAAAGTGGAATAAATTGTTTATATTTTGAATAAATTATCCATAAAAATACTTTCAGTAAAATACAACCCCAAATATATGATATTTCATTAATTGTCACGTGGTATTCCTGTAATTTTTTTCATAAATTATCAAAAATTATGTTACTCTTTGGAAATGAAATAACAAATACCTAAAAATATAACTTCAACAAATTATCATCAAAATGTAAATTAGTCAAGCCAAAGATGTTAATAATATTCGAATCAATACGAGACGCTATATTTTAATTACGACTTCGGTTAGGTTCCTTTACATCAGTTTATTCAACTTTGAATTTAATTAATTAAGTTTAAAATATCCTATTGAAGATATATTACTGTTAATAATAAAACCATTTAAGTGTATGATAAAATATAAAAAAAAAACAACTTGATTTGATGGTTCAATGCGACTATAATATGAAATTGGAAACTATCGTAACGTGTAAAAGGAAGTGAGATTATATTGCCGTAATAGCCATACCGATTTTCTTTTTAGTATTATAGGTAAGATTCAAATCTGTTGAATTATTTCTTGCAACCGATATGACGGAGTTCGAAGTTTATGAAAAACGTGAAAATATCAACACAGCGTGGTCGTATCGACAGTTTTTTTTTTTATTATTTTTTTTATTTAGAAAGTTTACAATCTGTATTTCATAACACAATAAGTAAAAAAGATGACTGACATAACACTACATACATAACAAAAATAACAAATGAAGCACAAGATAAGGGAAATCATCCAGTGATGGTACCCACCAGTTATTTATTTTTGTTTATTACGGCACCAATTTCTTTTGAGCCAGCGCGGTGGGTTGTCAGGAAGAGTACGTGATGCTAGGTGAGAGACCAAAGGATTGGGACGGTGTTGTAGCTTAGAGTAAAATCTGTTATAGTACAATTTAGCTAGTTGGTCAATTGTTGGAATTCTTAGATCTTTGTGTAGGGTTTCATTTGTTACGTACCAAGGAGCCGAGGCTATAAGCCGGAAAGTGATGGACTGGGAAACTATTGAATAGTGCGGATTTGAGAAGGTTTAGCACACCCCCAGATTTGCATACCGTACGTCTAAACGGGTCTGAGTAGAGATTTGTACAATGCCGACTTGTGTATATTGATAGTTTAGATTTGAGAATCGGCCTAAGTAGATGAAGGCGGTTGTTAAGGATTTTACGTTTGGACTTTAAATGCGGTCCCCATGTCAATCTTTTGTCTAGTAAAATTTCCAAACATTTTACCTGACTCATGTAGGAATATTGACTCCTTGAAGTCGAAGCGAGAGGGTATAGACAGTTAACAAGATTTACAAATGTGTAAATACAATCCAATAAACAATGGACGGAAATTCGATGATTGATCACACACACAGTAATTAATTAAAATTGTATTTCACTCGTATATTACCCTTGAATAAATTATACTACCTAATCATATACCGAGTGTATAAATTAAGATCACGGCACGCAAATTATTATTTTTAAATTATGCTTAAGGTTGTGTTTGTTCAGGTACGATGTTTATACTATAGAAAAAAAATAATCGTATACCTAATAATATATAATATATATATTTTAATAACAGCGATTTTAATGAATCAATAATATTAACATGCATTTTTATATAACATGAAATATTTACTATGCCAATTGATTCGTTTACCTGTTATAGTCAAGTACAAACTTATTACTAGAGAAATCGTGATAACCTATTTCTGAGTTTCGATAGCTTAAATTATGTACAGATAATATCGAAAATAGTGTAATCACGTTAAGGTGTTACAGGGTTGTTATTTATCAATCATTCCGTAGCATCTCATAAAATTTTAAAATAATTTGTAATTTAAAGTAATTGAAATGTATCAAAGTTATTTTTTTTCTATTTTTATGGTCAACCTATATCCATTTAAATTAATTTAATTATTCAGTTTGAGCAAATGAAAAATCATAATTTTTCTCTTTATGTCAAGTTTAATTTCTTCTTTATGTGAATAATTGCATGAATAGTTTCAAATTTTTTTAGTTGTAACATGAAACAAATTTGTAATTTTAAATACATTTTTTCATCCCTAATTTAAAATACATCGGATTCCAGATAATATTAGTGAAGTTTACAAAAGAAAAATACAAATGTATTGTATAAGTTATTTTTGTTAAAGCAAATTTTAGTTCCAGTAAATAAGATGATGAGGAAAGTTTTTCAGTATATATAACTTTGTAATTTGACTTATCTTCTGTGAAAAGTTCCAAAAAAGTATCAAAAATCAAAATACAAAATATGCAATTTCTTATGATGAAACTATAAATGTTTATTTATTTGTTAGTCAACTATTTATTCAATATAATAATGGTTTTTGTTCATCAACTTCAGCAAAAAATATGTTTTCTTTTGTGGTTGTAAAATTATTTTTTCTCAACTAAGAATATCCTGATGAATGATTTCAAATGCTTGTTTTTAAAATATAATCACATCGATGGAGTTTAATTTAAAGTATTAATCAATAGCTCTTATCTAATTTTTCTACTTTTACATTTTTAAATTGTTATTGAAAATAGTCAATAATTAAATCATTTATTCTGTAATTAATTATTTTATTTTTTCAGTATCCGTAGCGGAATTTTAACTTGTACGGGTGTAACGATCCCGTGGGCCCTAATCATTGGTGTTAGGAAAGTGATACGCCCATCGCCCAGTACCGATGTACTGCAATAGTCTCCTCTTTGGCCTTAATTAGTCGGGAAAGGATAGCTCCTTTTAGTTGGAGGTTATAACATACTAACAATCTGTCTTCATAAAAAAAATCTTATGTTATAAACCTTTCACATAAGCCTTGGAAATATGATGATATAAACGGATTTTTGACTCAAAAAATATCTCCTAATAAAACTCCTTCTGAAATCAGAACGGAAAATATACGGACATAAAAATTAGAACTTGGAATATTTGAAATTTATATAAACTAGTGGCACATAGAAATTACCTAATCTAGGAATGACTAGAATTGAAGAGGCCGATGATTAGGAATTGGGAGAGAAGTAATGAGAGCGATAAAAAACCTAAACGGCTTGTAAGTGCAAAAAAAAAAAAATTTAAAAATTTTCACATCTCCGTGTATAATTTTAATATAGATATATGTATATATGAATACTGAACATCCAATTTGCACAAAGTTCAATGTATAATGAACTTAATATTTTTTAGTTTAATATTAAAATTCTTTTTTTAAATTTTATATTTTACAGTAGTAAGCATAAATTATTATCATTTTAGTTTATTCTTCTAATGACCAATTATTGTGATGAAAAATTTATTTTCAAAACAATTTATAATTATCACACTTGAAAATTAAAACATATAATATAATATAATTTGTAATACGTCCGATCAATAATTATCTCGTACCTTGTCCTCTTTACTGTCTTCTATTAGAATTGGTTCACTGCCTTTGATAAACTTCACATCTAATATAGTGTCTTGCTCTAGATCATCTTTTTTTGTCTCCATTTTCGTAACAATGACAATTTACAATGTAAAAAATATTTAGCTACTGTAAAGAAATATTTAAATAAATTGACTTAAACGATATAGTTTGAATTTATTTGACATATATGATATATAGGTATTTTTGAAATCGAAATACTAAACACTATAGATTAAACCGTTAAAAAATAGAAATAAATTATTATTATAAATTATTTCCACGGCAATTCAATATAGTTATAATTAATTAGCCAATTATTAAAAATATTTATATATAGGTACTATTGTATAAAAGTACATGATAGTGGTTGATTTTTAAATTAACCGATTACATACTTGAGTAGTTAAAAATGAAACTTCGCTGCATATGTGATCGATCGCTTTTATTAAATAATTAGTGTGTATTCACGTGACGTTAGAGATTTATTATATACGTACGTTGGTATTTTTGTACATATCAATACATATAGTAAATATAATTTATATGTTTGTAATATGAGACGTATATACATTCTTATTTTATAATTATTTAGTTTTGAGGTATAATAATACGCATATAATATGTAATCGGCGATGATGAGAAAGTGGAGCCAGTGAGATCAAAGAGATTTTAGTATTTAGCATGGATAGAGTATACTAACTCAATATATTTTCACTAATTATACAATTCTACAAATCAACTGCTGCAGTGTTTACATGTCTAGATTTAGTAAATTATTTATTCAAAGGCTAGAAGAACTGTTACGAAATAATAATAATAATAATCATAATAATACGTATTAACTACTCAGTTACGATATTCATAGCATGCATCGTATACGTGTTTTATGTTGACCTTTACTAAAATAAGTTTGACTAACTACACTACTCACTACAAAGTTTGTAAATTTCGTTTTTGGCACTTTCTACACAAATACACTTCTACATTCTGAAACAAAATTGTGTGCGTTGTTATTGAACCACCAAAAACCGACTAGCCGGAAACATTTTATGCAAATCGATATCACCAGCTGGTGGTGATGGTGTACTGTTATACCAGAGCATTGCGATCGAATCACTCTGTAGTAATATTGAATTTGCTACGTCTCGTTTTCCGCGTGCATGAAACATACCAAAATTTATAATTCAATATATAATTCTGTTTTATTTTGCCATAAATCGATCGGATAAATTATTGTTTAAAGTACCGTCAACGATTAGTATCCAAAAATGATTTTACCATCAAATTATTTTTTTTAAATTGTTATTTTCGGTATATCTTTAAAAGGTATGTTATAAAAGTTGATATATATATATATTTATTACATATATTAACTGAATTATTTCTGTTTACTGTGTAGTTATATACTTAAGTAATATTATCCGACTACCAGTTTATTGGTCATTTCCATTATGTCATTTCGTTATTCACAATGATTTTGTATTATGTTTAGTTTTCGTGTGCAATTAAGTTAAATTATTCGTTAAAATATTATTAAGAGGATGTCAACGCACTATTTGTTTTCTTACTCTGGCCCACGTGTAACATAGACAAAACGAATTTACGCAGAACAATTTATTTTTTTTTGATTTTTTTGAGTAATTTTAGAGTAGAATCACCCATAACAAAAATTAAAGAAAATAATATTTTTAAAGGTATAACATATCGATTTGTTTAAATATTGTCTCAAAACAATTTTAAACATAACTTAAATTTATAATTTTTTAATTTTTATTTTGAAAGTTGAATACTCAGTCAAATAATAATAAATTATAAAGCCAATAGATATAGTAAACCCTCAAAAATATTATCCTCACTAATTTTTATGTTACGCTTGGGCCAGAGAGTGAAAACAAACAGTGTGTGGACATCCTCTTAACATTCATAATTGATACAAATGCTATAGAGTGTATTTCCTAGTCACGTTCTAAACAGTCCAAGCATTTGCTGCTTGCTATTTATTATTAACATATTCACGTTTGACGTTGATACAATTTACAGGTTGAATATTCATAGCATTCCTGCAGTTATTATTTTTGGGAGTTGAGACAACTATTGACAATAATTGACATTTACAGTAATTATATATTAAAAACACCTAGGAAGTAATAAAAATAAAACTAGTAAATTGTCCGAAATCTGCAGTGGCTAAATCAGGTTACAATATGATTTTGATAAAAATATGTTTTTATTTTTATTTAATTTATAATTAATTAGTGTAATATACGTAAATAGTTATTTGTATTTTGTTTTTAAATTATAATTAGTGTAAATTTATTGACGGTAAAACTCGTACATTTTAAAAATCTTTGACGGTAAAAAAATAATATCTTTGTATATTTTATAATTTAATGGTTGAAAAAAATGTTGTACCTATATCAAATTTATTATTTTATAGAATATATAGTTATTAATATGGCTAAAGTCAACTAGTGGGGCTCAAGTCCCATTTATACTTATATGAAACAGAATTTTCCTTTACAGTTTACACTAAAACTTAAGTTAATTTTATTTTACTAAGAATTTAAAAATTTTACAACCTATATTTGATAATAATAAGACTTCTCCTTTCATCTATCAATAGATTTTTTCTGCAGGTTGTATATCACACTATAATATTAAAAATATAATATAATATAATATTTTATTTTATTTTTTTTTTTTTGATATTATTATATAATATATATATATATATATACATTCTTGATGTTCATGTAATTAGAATTTTAGATTCTGATACGATGATATCTATTGTGTACTAGTGTACTGTGACGTTTTGAAACGTACAACGTTTATTAGATAGGTTTGATGGGAGCGAGTCATTGTTTGCATGTAGGTGTATTATATTTTATTTATTAAAATAATACAGGTAAGACCCGATTGAATACTGCACGACTTCAGGAAATCGCAAATGATTTCATTGCTATTTTACACCCGTTTAAACTTTGAACTTTATATACATATATATATATATATATATATATGTATATATATATAAATATATTCCTATTTGTGTCGGTCTACGCGGAACTTGATCTGCAGCAGGATGCGTCCCTATATGTAGTGCACGATGGGGTCGTCGCCGCCAAAAGGATATAATATAAACGCAGGCGGCGTTCTTTCCATTGCGTGGTTAGCGAGAGAAAACGGGGAGATAGAGCGAAACAGGCCATATTTGAAAATCCCCTTTGAACCTTTGGGATCCGTCTAATTCGTAGGCTAAACATACTGTGTTGGTGTGTGTGAACGCATGCATTTCAAAAGTCAATATAATATGTGCGCAAACGGCGAAGCAAGCGGCGGGCTGGTTTCTTATGGATTCTGCCACTGCCGCGCGTCAAATTACTTTTCTTTTGCTCAGTGCCAAACGTCATCATGGGGTCGACTTTTATCGAGAGGAAGTGAAAGTGTGTACGCTGCACGTTATATATCTGCAAAGTATATAAATATATATATGCAGTTCATGGGGTTCTTGGTATCGTGTGTATACGATATAACTGCTGCAACACACACACACACACACGCACACATAAATACACGCATATGTATTGATATATATATATATATATATATATATAGATATTATTGGAATAACGTGTAATTATTTTATGTTATATACTAAATCGTGTGCTGACGTGAAGTAATCTAAATGAAAATGTACAAAATTATTTTATTAGACGAGGCAACACATATTGTAAATATTTAATGAAAACATTTGTTTATGTAAAAAAATATACATAATCACATGAAGTATTATATAAACAATAATAATGCTAATAACTAATAACTATAATAACTAATAAGTAATAAGTAATAATGTTTTGGCTGCGATATTAGGTATGCAGATTATAATAAAATACATTTGTCATTGTGTACCTCCGATGGGTGGTCTCTTCCCTCAGTCTCTTCTGTCTGTTTTGTTCCATTTTTATCACTTAAGCTTATTGTTCATTAATTATTGTAACAGATAGCGTAATATAGAATTTTGTTAAAAAAAAAGTCATTGTGTACGTTACATGCAATAAATATAGAAGTAATACACGGTAGTATGAATAAATTATAGTTAGAACTAATATTTTCTTAAACTATTTTTTGTCAAAATCAAATTGTATTTATTATTGTATATAATAATTATTATTTAATTTAATTTATTAATCATGAACCGTGTCGAAGAAAATGCAAATTTGTTTGTGATAATATATTCTATAGATTTAGATTAGTCTAAATAATATATATTTAAAATATAATTTGAACATTTCATAGTGTATTGTAAATTTGTAAATAATAACTTACGAAATGACAAAAGTTTCAAGTTCTTATAAATAATACTTTATTAATTAGAACGAAATAACTAAAATTGTTTTTTTTTGCTAAGATATCGGATTTTGTCAAATTTTAAAATTTAATTGCCTACACAAGAAATATTGTAACTATTGATAAATTAGGTTGCGACAAGAATTTATTATGAATCTTATATTTAATTGTTATTTGATATTTCTTAGTTAAAAAGTTTTAAATGTTATGAATATTTAATTAATAAAAAATTATCTTTAAATTTTAGTGATTTCAATGATTTTTTTTCTTAAACTTGAACTCAAGCAAACGTGCTATTGTTTTTCGTATATTTTTGAAACATCGATATATTTTAATTTTTGATTCACTTAACTCAGCTCCAACTTCAACTCTAGTTTCTGTCTCTGTTCAGAATCGTATTCCTTATATTATAATACTGTAGGTATACTATAATTAATTTCAAATTTAACACATCAAAAACGGTATCAACTTGTCCAACTTTTTTATGTGTTATTAATTTATTATTATACTTGTTAGTTGTAGTGTTGCCTGTTGGTAATATCAATATATAAACAGGAAATACAATTACCTAATATTTATCAATTATCATTAATGGTGATGCATATTTTAATAATCAAATTTTAATTTTATACGGATAGTTTTTGTTTTAATATAATAATATATTACAGTGTATTAATTGATGTGTTATCTTATGATATTATGTTTAATTTAGTCGAATAAAATTGTACTC